AAAAGAACAGACACAAAAGGCCACCTGTTACATGATCCCATTTATATGAAATGTCCAGAACAGGCAGATCCATAGAGACAGAAAGCAGATCAGTGGTTGCCTGGGGCTGGGGGAGGGGGAATGGGAGTGACGGCTCATGGTGCTGGGGTCTCTTTTGGGATGATGGAAATATTCTGGAACTAGATAGTAATGATGGTTGCACAACACTGTAAATATACTAAATGCCACTGAATTGTTCACTTTAAAAGGGTGAATAGTGTGATATGCAAACATAGCCTTAAAAAAAAAAAAAGGAGGAATGGGCAAAGGTGCACAGTTGGGGGAAGGGCAGGCTGTGACACGCAAGAAGCTAGGCCAGGCCTGTTCTGTGTCATCTCCTGCAGCCACTGTCCCCAGAGGCCCCTGATACCCCAGCACCATCCTGGTTCAAGGGAAGAGGCGGAGACAACATGTCTTTGTGACCAAACCACCCAGAGGCTGCTGGAGAGACAGAAGAGGCAGGTATCTGGGGAGGTAAACTGAGGCAGCCTGTCCCCCTGATGGAAACATGCATCCTGACTCATGGTGGGATGAGTCTCTTTCTCAAGAGAGAAAGACTCAGAGGAAAGGAAGTTGAGAGTGGGGGCAAGTGCTCTGGAGAAGCCACCTTACCCATTTTACAGACTAGAACACTGAGGCCAGACAGGCTGAGTCATCTGTTCTGGGCTGAACTGCAGCAGGAAGAATCTTTGAACAACTCACAAATCAGGTCTCTAACTCATCTGCTCCAGAACGATCACCCCCACACCCAACCAACTTAAGAATAAAACTCTTAGGTCCCCAAGCCCCCGGAGGCTGTGACCTCTATCCGTCCCCCTCACCTACTCCCCACCGACCACATCTGCCACAGGGCCTTTGCTCTTACTGTTCTGGCCTCTCTTCACCATTGGGCCCTAGCACCACCTCTTCCAGGAAGCCCTCCCTCACTCCTGTTCCTCACACTTTCACTTGTCACTCGCCCAGGTTTATTATAACTCTCTTTGTGATGATTAGATTAACATCTGCCTTCCCTACCCAATCAGAAACCCCTCATGCCTGGACCAATTCTGACCTGTTCGGGACAGGAGTTGGTATACAGTAGGTGCTCAACACTGATTTCCTGAATCAATGAAGGAATGAATCTATGAAAGGGGGTCTATCCCAGTCTTGATTCCTGGAGCTGCTGGGAGGAGCTGAGGGATCAACACTCAGAGGAGCACCAGAATAATGAGTACACAGCAAGCGCTCAATAAACACTGGACCAGGGTTCTGCTAAGTAAGGTTGTCCAACCCACTGAGGTAGGGCCCTCAAGCCAGTGCCCTGAACCCCTTCCTCTATAAAAATAGAGATGGACAAGTAGAGGCCCAGAAAATGACCCTCCTGTGGGTAATTTTCTAGCAGCAGAAAAAGAACTCAACGTGGCTTTAACAAAAAGAGAACCAGAGTGGTGGGCTTCAGGCATGGCTGGATCCGGGAACTAGGACTCCATCTCTTTGTGTTCCTGTCCTCCCTGCAAGCTTCTCTTCCAGGCAGGCTCAGCCTTCCCCCAGTGGAAGCAGGGTGTTCATTTTTCCCATTCATTTCAGCAAGAATTTCTGGTGGTGCTCAATAAACACCAAACTCCTACCCCTTGGACCCAGGGGGTGAGTTTGCCAACACCAAGAGCACATAACTGGGTCGTGTGCTACCTGTGGGCCCAAGAATGGGATGGCCAGCATGGGGGCATTTAGCTCCTTGGAGGTTCTGCTGTGTATGTGTGTTGGGGGGTGGGGGAGATGCTGGACTTGAGGTGGGTAGCTCCGAGCCCCTGGGGGTCAGGTCAGTCTGGTCTTTCTCATGAGGCTGCTGACCCAGCATCCCCTCCTTCCTGTCCACTTGGTTCTGCCACTGTCCGGGCCTCTTCCTCGGGCTGGAGTCCAGCCCTAAGGAATGAGGAGGGCTGATCCTCAAGGGAGGGCATATCTAGCAGAGGGCACTTGAGCAAAAGCTGCGAGGTGGCAAATCCAAGGGAGGGAACATTCGCAGAACAGTAAGCAGCACTGTAGCTGGAGTACTCGGACCAAGTCTTCTGTTTCCCCATCTAGATGCGTAGATGGGGAAACAAAAGACCCCCAAAGAGGAGGGGCCTGGACCTCTAGATTCCCGGCCCTACTGGCTGCCAGACCTCCCTCACCTAGAGGTCCCATCTCCTTTTGCCACAAAATTCAGTGGTACTGGGTTTTAATCTCCACCCAGCCCTCGTTTAAAACCGGAAAAGTCTGTTTTGTAAACTCTCTGGGAGGTGGGAGGTGGGGCTGGGCGGACTGGGCCTGGGAGACACGCGCCGCTGCTGCCACCTGGTGGCCATGAGGGGAATCAGAGCCAACTCGTTTAAGAATGAGGGGAGGACTTCCCTGGTGGCGCAGTGGTTAAGAATCCGCCTGCCAATGAAGGGCACGAAGGTTTGAGCCCGGGTACGGGATCCCACATGCTGCCGAGAAACTAAGCCCGTGTGCCACAACTACTGAGCCTGCGCTCTAGAGCCCGCGAGCCACAACTACTGAGCCCACGTGCCACAACGACTGAAGCCCACGTGCCTAGAGCCCATGCTCCGCAACGAAGAGAAGCTACCGCAATGAGAAGCCCGCGCATCACAACGAAGAGTAGCCCCGGCTCGCCCCAACTAGAGAAAGCCGGTGCGCAGCAATGAAGACCCAACGCAGCCAAAAATAAATAAATAATACATTTATTTTTTTAAAAATAGAATGAGGGGAGGTCGGGTGGCAAGGGTACAGGAAGCGGGCAGATTCAAGGTGTGTCTGGGGGGCACGGGTCCTGCTGCGGGGCGTTGGGTGTTAGGACCAAGGAGGAACCCCAGGTCCCGGCCTGAGCCCTGGGCAGAGGGGCGGGGCTGGGGGACAACAAAGGCTCCTGTTACTAACGGTCTCAGCCCCACTGCCCCTTGGACTCGTCCACCACCCCCACCCCCGCCTCCCAGTCCTAACTTTGCAGAGTTCCAAGTGATCATCTAGCTCTGTCTCCCCCAGATTGGGTTCTCCTGGGGGCACCCAGAGGGAGAGATTAATAAATGTGTGGAATGAATAAATTAATTCTCAGGCTCCTATTGGGGGATTTTGAGCAGGACATTAAAGCTTTAATCAGGGGAAAGATACTCATTTATTAAGTCTCAGACACCCGCCCCCCCCCCC